CCAGCCCCCGCACTCCCGGCAGCCCAGCAGCGGCTCTGCCAAATGCAAACACACACACACGTTTCTCCAGCCAGATCGGTGACCGAGCCCGGCCCGGTGCCCCCGCAGCCACCAGGGCTGGGGGCAGCTGGAGGGGGGCCCTGAAGGAGAGCCCGGGTAGCCCCAGCCCCGGGCAGCCGACAACGCGGGGCCGGGGCGCTGGGCCGGGCTCCAGGAGAGCTGGCGTCTTCCCTGGTCCGGCTGCCGGTCTGCTGTGCCAGCAAATTACTGCGCTTGTCTACATTGGCTGCAGACAGCTGCCTTCAGGCCCAGCTCCTCCAGGGTGTTTGCACAACCCCGAGCACCACCAGCCACACAGCTCCGGTAACCAGAGCATCGGGCTGGCACCGGCCCCGGCAACACCTCCAGCCCCAAGGAGCCGTGACGCTGAAGATCCAGGGTCCTCCTGCGACGTGACCGCAGGCGACGCTGCCTCCCAGCTGCCCTGGTGAGCACGTTTGCTGCAAACACTGGGAGAAAGCCGAGCCATGGCCAGGAGCACCGAGCAGCCAGGAGGTGTGCAGCCACCGGCATTCCCACACCTGGGCATCCCTCAGCCGCTGGTCCCCTGGCACCCTCCCAAAACACTGAGCGGAGCTGGTGATGCTTGCTGTGGACTAGGACCCACATGCACATGCACACGTGCCGCGGGCTGCGGCTCTGCGAGGCCGGCGGTGCTGCCTGGCCACGAACACGTCACCCTGGCACGAGCCGGTGCCTGTCCCTGTCCTCCCCTGAACTTTGAAGCCCATCCAGTGTCTTGTCCCAGCCTGGCACCGTCCCTGGGCCCCACCGCTGCTCTGTGCTGCTGTGCTGTGCTACTGTGCTGTGCCACTGCTGTGTGCCGCTGTGCAGGGCCGGCGGTGGCGATCCTCACCACCCTCGCGGTGGCACCGAGCGGAGGCTGAGCTGGGACTCATGAGGAGGCACAAAATCATTTGCTTCCTGCCCCATCCCTGCTCGGCGTAGCTCTTCCTGAGGCTTTGTGGCTGCCCGGGGGTTCAGGGTATGGTGTCCCCCAGGCTGGGGGGGACCAGGTGCCCGGGCAGGGATGGCATGGCTGAGCCTGTCCCCACGCTGGTGGGATGCCCGCTGCCAGCCTCCAAGCCCTGCAGGCTGCAGATGCTGCCGAGCGCAGGCAGGCGCTGGCCCTGCTCCCGCAGCCCAGTCCTGGGATCTACAAACCAGATGCTCTCAGCTCAGGCATTTTTTCCACTTCCAAGCCACCACAATCCAGCCCCCCGCCCTCCCCAGCTCCCCCAGCCTCCCTTATCCTGCTCCGCAGCCGGCCGTGCCCACGGCCCCTGGCAGAAGGCAGGCAGGGGCATTTGGAGGGGGCC